TATATTACGCCTTGCCGGGGCTTGCGATGGCCGGTTGAGAGCCTTATGGGAAGTAGGACGTGGGCACTGAATGTGTCCCCAGCCGGCGTTGTAATAACCGTCGATGGTTAAGTAGTTAGATTATATACGCTGGAAGAGGAGATCGGATCGGAGGTCCGGGTAGCGTAACTGGCAACGCATCTGCACGGTAAGCAGGAGTTGTGGGTTCGAGTCCCGCTCCGGGCCGATTTTTTCTCCCAGCGGTTCCAAATTATTTAAATTAATTAAAATTATTTATAATTATTAATATTAATAAGAGATGGCGCCTAACGCTTACCTCTAGTACCAAATTGATTACGTAATTTATTTAATAATTAGCATAAAACTAGCCCGATAGATTTTTGGCAGTCTGTTGGTTGTAGCTATATTATATATCGGGTTGGAGATGTTTGTATTTACAGTCATATCACTGTATTTCTTGTATAACGGTCTATATTTTCTACAATATTCAATTTAATACAGTGGAACCCCGGTTAACGAACATCCTGGTTAACGACCAAATCAATTAACGAACTTTTATTTTGCAAAAATTTTGTCTCGGATAACGAACAAAATTCAGATAATGAACGTAACGGTATTTTGTGTCAAATTTCAGTTGGTGTTAGGCATGAGCGAGTTAAGCATTGCTTTTCTGAGTGTTTGTCTTATACTTCTTTTTTCAGTTTTTCAGTTATATTTAATCAATATGGCATCCAAGAAAGAAAAAGGTCATAGTGGCAATAGAAAACGACAATGCGCTATCACATTTGAGAAAAATTTTGATTAAAAGAGTAAGACAATCAACTTTAGATCAATTTCTTGTTCCTTATGGAGAGAGTTTGTTTGTTTTTTAATTTATGGCAACACAACACTTGGGCAATCTGCCTAGGGGAAATGCCTTCTGGGAGGTGTTTTTAAGGGAAACTCGCCCCTATTTAGGCGTTACAGACGTGGAGAAAACCTGGAAAACTCCACATGGCCAGCTTGTCTGAGCGAGGTGCAAACCCACGAACGAACTCCCCGTGTTCAGGATACGAAGACCGCTTAGCCACTGGTAGGCTTTCTTACTGAAAGAGACTTAGACTTGAAGAATCTTCCGATGAAGTGCTACCCATTATTTTTTTGGAGGGGATTCCCCTTTTAAGCTTTAAGGTTCGTATATCTCCACTTTTCTGCCACCAACTACAACAAACAAAGGTATGTACAGTGCTATTTTATTAAACAAAGTTTACATGTTTGTTGCTGTAATGATAGATACTACGTTTTCCTACATTTTCATCAAAGAATATCTACTGTGTATTACAAATAAAATCACAAAAATTTTGGAGACTAGAATGAATTAATTGCATTTGCATTAATTTCTATGGGAAAAATTGCTTCGGTTAATGAACAATTCAGTTAACGAATGGAGTCACGGAACGGATTAAGTTCGTTAACAGGGGTTTCACTGTAAATTTATTCCTAAGAATTTTCACATTTTAAAACTGAATATAACTATAATAAATATGAAATATAAAAAAAAAATTTGTATTTAAATATCTAAAAGAGTTTTATCTGAAAAAAATTTTTACACACACATATCACTAAATTTCTGCCACCCTTGGCTCCACAATCTTGCTGGATTAATCATTTTGCCAGATCAACTGTGGTCACATATAATCATAATTCACCAATCAACACACCTCTAACCCAATAAAGTCTAAAGTATACCACAAACTGCTAGAAACTAATTAAATAAATATTAAATGTAAATTATGTTGACACCACCATTGACACTCTCATCTCTCTTAGAAGTCAAGTTAGGATTAAATTTAAGCAAAATAAACTAAGAATATCACAAAATTGCAGTTTCACCATCAACAAGTGTGATGTAAATAATGTAAATAAGTGCACCCTAGACACAATGCCATCTGTGGCCACCCAATAAACCAGTCTTGTTGCTGCAGGAATTTTATGTTCCCTCTTGTAATTTTGTCTGAATTAAAGAAGATGCCAGAAATTTGGTGTTGTATCTATGTAACTAATTTAAATACTTTATGAATTTTTCAGGATAAGTACATAAAAAAAATTAAGATAATAGCATCAATATGTAAAAGACTTAATTTTGTTAATAAATTTTTTGGTATATAAAATCAAATGCTGGTATTCCAACTCAGCCAATTTTAGCTACTATTAAATTTAGTTACTGTAAAAAAACTAAATTTATATTAAAGACTAAAAATATTTTTAAAATAAATCTTTTAAACTAATTGCATATTACAAAGTTGTTCTATATGTATAAATTTGTTAAACTTAAAGTCTATATCAGGCTATATTAAAACTAATTTTAATTATTAAATATTCAAATTTAGTGTTGTGAAGTGCACCATTCCCCCCCAAAATTTTGTTATTATTGTATCTATTTTATACTACATTATCCGTATAATTTTAGTTTTAATTACTTTATTTTAATCCTTTTGCTAATGTATTTGCTTTAACTATTATCCCAAATAGCATTAAGTGTAAAATGTGTTAATAAGTTTGTGATGTTTAAATTTTTCATAACCAATTAGTTTTATATGTTATCTGAATTTTAAGTTAATTTTTAGTTATAAAATTTTAATTGCTTTTAACCTTTTTGATCTTGGAATATTAGGATCACTTCTTTTTCTAAATGGTGGTTTGTTTTCTCTCTGTAAAATAAAAAGAAGCATTTATAAAATTTATTAATTATATAAATTTACAAATAAACATAAACATACTTTAAAATTAATAGAATGTATCATTTGAATGAAAATCTTAACATTTTGTGTACTAATCTAATTTTAAATTTTATATTTAAAAATTTCTGTTCTTTTGAAGTACAGCTCTCCCTTGATAGTCCGACGTTTTTTAATCTGACATGCTCAGTAGTCCGACGCAACTCCCGTCAGTACCTGTCCCCATTACGGGTCTACTTGCACAGAAGCATGTCACGACGTGAATCTCCCCATCCAATTCTTACACGATGATACACATTTCGTGTGTTTTCTGTAAGCAGTTCTGTTCGAACAGTTGGAGTAGGGAATATTGTAAGCTACTGCTAGCAAAACAATGCAAAATATGTAATTATTTTTGGTAATCTGGACACTTTTGGTAATCCAACACCCTTTTGGTCCCATACCTGTCAGACTATTAAGGGAGAGCTGTATAATGATAATTAAACTACCAATACTATTATTTTCTTCTGTTTCTAACATGCAATGCATGTTGCAAAATTAATTTTTTATTTTCTTATATTTTCTTGTAATACAATTGCTTACAATTTTTCTAAATCAGATTAGCATAGTTTAATAAAACATAAACCATAACAGATATGGGAAAAGTTTGTTCAGATATTATATTAACTCACAAAACCATAAGCATCTAAGAGATTTAGTGATCTTTAACATGAGTGCCTTTAATAGCTTATATAGCATGTGTTGATTTCTTGCTAAGTGTTTTGCAAAATATCTTGAAGCTATCTTGTATTTCACCTCTGCAATGTTAAAGTAACCTTTTTTGAAAAATCCTGTCTTTTCTTTTTTTTTCAAATAGATAAAAAGATTTAGAGATATGAGATCTGGGCAGTAAAGGCTATGGATATCCATTGGCTGGGACACTTGTTTCAGAATTTGCATATATGTAATTCCCAAAATAGTGGTGTTCCATCTTGTTGGAGAAACACATCAGATTGCATCTCTTCCAATTGAGGAAAACCACAAATTTCAATATACTCAGGTAATTGCCAGCTGTGTTTTATTAAATGAATAATAGTCCAAAAATTTTGTCTTAGGATAATGCATATCAGATATTTATCTGAGTGAAACTATCTCCTTATGCTCACAAGCATAAGGAGATAGTTTCACTCAGATAAATATCTGATGAATATAGCATCTGTGTCTGAAAAACTGCATGCAGTTTTTCAGCTATGTTCATCAGCCTTGCAGGATATATCTCACTTCACTGCTGAAAACACTGACCAGGATATTATTACCCTTTAAAATACAGTCAAAAAATGTGAATGCAAATTTCATAAGCTGGTGATGTGATGTCATTGTGCTAAATTTCCTGCATATGATCTCATGCACCACTGATCATAACTGATCAGTGATGCATAAGATGAACTGCATATGTGGCAAACTGTATATGTGGTGATCATCACTGATCACCACATATAGTTCCACACAGGCACAGATGTAACAGATGTTTAGTTTCTTAAAGCCATAACATGCATATTTTAACAGATTTTATTTTATAGTAATGCTTGTCAGGAACAATATTGCCAGCAATAGAGTAAACTTTCGGAGTTACCACATTCAATGCAAAAAAAAAAAAAATTGTCTCCCAATTTCTAACTATTTTTAAATTAAGCATCTTAATCTGGGTCAAGAAATTGTACACACTATTATATTTTCAATTTACCAAATACAATGTACAAAAAATATTTGATTTTTACTTAGATGTTTTACTATAATTATTGACACGCAAAATTAATAAAAAGATATAAAATAAAAACTAACAAAAACTTCAAATATTATCAGATAAACTATTTTAAAACTTTGAATTATAATACTATAAACTCATTCTATAATATACATCTTCACAATTTGTTTAATAAAAAATAAACAGAATCAGAAAAGACAAATTAATATAATTTTAATTTAAATGTTAAAAATGACTGATAAGTTATAAATTAATTATAACTTCACAAAGTCATAAATATGATAAATTCAATAATAAAAATACCATGATAAAAAATAAATAAGACATAAATTATTATTATTAAATAATGTTAGCCTATTACTACACTATTTTTGAACTATAAGAATTCTGACTAAATAAATAAATTTATGACAGTTCATTCTTGATAGTTCTAATTATATGAGGGGGGTGGAAGAAATTTGTTGATATGTTTTTTAAATAAAGTTTTCAATATTCCTTCAGATTTATATAATAATGACCATAAAATTGCTTCATAATATAGATACATTCTTTGTACATCTAAGCATATATATTTGTGCATGTTCTGCAAGTGACACTGTGGTAATTGCTTTGGAAATAGTACAAAGGTGCATCCAGAAAGTAAGTATTCTTTGGCTCTTTAAAAAAAATAGGCATTTGAAATAATTATTATTTAATTACCATTAAAACATAGCTGAATCTACTTTTCAACATAACAGACATGCAAATTGAGGCACTTATCAAATCTAGGCATTAAATTGAAGATACCCTGTTCATAGAATTCCACTGCCTGTGACTTGAACCATTTTTGGATGTTGCAGCAGTGACTATTGTTTGCTTTTTGGTGTAACATGGCAAATTCACATTTTATCCCTGGTGACAATTCTTTTCATACCACTGCAAAAGTTCTAAGGCTGATCCCATGTGTTTTGTTTTGTGAATGTTCCATTATCATTTTTGTCACCCACCTTAAACACAACTTTTTGAAGTGCAAGTGTTTAGTCACAGTTTCATGCAGCAAAGATCTTGAAATGTCAGGAAGTTGTAGAGAAATCAAAAATTATGAACTGTCTATCAAAATTAATCTTCTTTTCAACATTGTACAGTAAGTTTTCATTGACTAGAGATGAGTTGTCCCCTCTCTGTTAAGCATTCTTACCAACTTTCTCACTATACCTTCATTTATCACATTTAGTCTGTAAATTTTGTGTGGTTGAACATTTCTCTCATTCAAAAACCTAATTAATGATTGTATTTCACAACTATCAGAACACTCAATTGTTTTGAACATTATAATTGATGCTTAGTGATCCTCAACATCGACAAGGAAAACAAATATGGCTCACTTACTTTGCTCTTGAGTGGAAGAAGTAACTATGCATGTATGACCTTGACACTGCCAAAATGGATGGGAGATATATGTAAACAGTATGTACTTTCTAGATGCTGTTTGCAGCTTCACTTGACATATTTCAAAAACAATATGCTTGATCTTGGTATGTGAAAAGAACATTGTTGGCAACATTCATGGAACATTGTTGGAAAACATGCATGGAGATGAAGTTATTCACCACACCACTATCAGCCAATGGCCTGAATGATTTTCAGCAAAAGACAAATATGTATTCAAGATTTAACACATATAATATTCAAGATATAACATGAAGTAGCAGACTGCTAACAGCCATGTCAGAAGCCACAGTTCAGCAAGCAAACAACATAATTCTTGTTAACAGACACATAACTGAAAGAGCGAACATTGGATGAAGCTTTTAATTTTTTTTTGCTTTTTTCTATCAGTAGAGAATTCTTTTAGCCTATGGGGCAAGATGGAAAAATGTTGCTTGGAGCAAAGCACAGCTAATTCATCCATGTCTCATGTTTAGTACTGAATCTTTACAAAGGAAAAAAAAGGCTTGTGAAAAAGAAAAAGAAAAAAATAAAGTAGTTAACTTGCAAGAAGAAAAGCAAGAATGCATCAGTTAAAGTATATAAAAAGAGCTCTTTGAACAATGAACACAATGAATACCTTTACTGTGGATATGTATATTCTGATTCAACAAAAGGTAAGATAAGCTGTGAAAATATGTCACTGATGGGCATATTGCTAATATGCTGGTGATAATAATGAGTATGATGAGATTTGCCACATATGAGCCTTAGTCTTCAAAAAACAGATTGCTGTACTATAAACATTTCTATAAGAAATCCTAAGACAATACTATGTCTTGTTTATAAAATTGCACTACCGTTTTATGTTACCAGCATGGAGGTATGAAGGAGTACATGTCGAGAGTTGATATTTGGAACAGAGTATTAGGTGCCCAAATTCTTTGCGCATAAAAAAATCCAAACTTGTAGGTAGTCAGAGGACCAAGAACTGAGTCAAAATAAAATACAAAATGGTGACCCTCTTCTACAAACAGGCAAAACAGGCACCTCACCCCACCAAAGTCAGGTGGGGGGAGTACCATCCATAGTCATTCTAAGAAGTGAACTCTGACCTTAGACTGAACATGTAGTTTCTTCTATGTTAAATAAAATTTGTAATCTAATTTTGTAAATTTGGGAGTGCTTCAAATATGATGTTAAAATGGTTTTATGTCATGACAAGTGGGTTTTTTTTTTAACATTATCTAGTATAGTAAAATCGTGGGACCAATAAAAATTTGACGTTATATTAGGGTTGTCATTACATCCGATAATGGGTTAAACTGTATATTGTTAGTGCAAAATAAAATAATTTTGGACAATACGCCACGATTACTTTTTTCAAAAACGGGAAATTTTCGTTATGAATCGACAAAAGTTCAACCTGGGCCAATACACAACAGAGAGAAATTTCGAAATTGGATAGGTTAATTTTATTGAAAATGCATCGTGGACGACGTCATGGTCATGGCAGGCAAAGTTTGAATGATCGCACCCAAAAGCAGTGATACCAAAGAAGATTGGAGAATGAGAACGAGACCTGCCTGGAGTGTCAAAGTGATTCCGCTTAGTAGCGAGTCTCTGAAACATAGTCTTGTCCCAAATACAGTTTTGCCGTTTTACTTGCGTGTTTCGTTATTAGTTTGATATTTAATATTAATAACTGTAAACTACCCCCTATCTCCTCAAAACACAGTCTTATCCCACTTAAGAAGCAAGATATAGATTTCATAATTATTAGAAAAAAAAAGAAAAAACTTAATAATTTGAGTTTTTTTTT